ACTAGGCAGATTTGGGTTGCTTTTGCACCCATGAAAGGTTCCATGTGCCATATGAGCTTGTTTTATGTCCTTTTGAGCTCAAAGTCCCATGAAAGCACGTAAAGGTTGTAACTTTACGTGTTAGATCGATTGTAGAAGCTTGGATCTATCTTTTGATCAAAGGATGTACATCAGAAAGCAAAGATTTAGGGTATGGACGTGACCAACTCGGCGAGTCCACTATTGAACTCGGCGAGTCTAAGGGTTTTGCCCTTTCTGTTGAGGGTCAAAAGAACCCAGTTGAGTGTGGAAAGGTTTTAAGGGGGTCCCAGGGAGTGACCCAACGTTCTGGACTAAGCCATTGTGCTGGAAGTTAATGGGGCTCGGCGAGTGCATGAACGGACTCGGCGAGTCCAAGGCAATCTCCTTAGAACTCGGCGAGTTGTTCATCAACTCGGCGAGTTGAGGACAGAAGTTGTTCATCAGATGAAGGTGAACACGACGAGTTGTTCATCAACTCGGCGTGTCGGATGAGTTTTCATGTGGAGTTCGAATGGGAGAGGAACTCGTCGAGTTGACGGCTCAACTCGACGAGTAGGTGCACGGATGAGGACGAGTAGAGAGTGGGGGACTCGACGAGTTGACGGCCCAACTCGGCGAGTCGGGTCAACTGGAAGTTGACTTTGACTTTGACTTTGACCTTGACTTGACTTGGTTGGGGGTAAAATGGTCATTTTACCCTAAGTATAGAGATCAGTTCCTAACTGAGTATTGTGGGGTTGTAGCCGGAGGATTTCCGGAGCAGCAGCGGACGGAGGTTTCCCGCACAGATTATCAGCGACTAATTGTACGAGGTGAGTTACCTTCCAGTAGCGGTGGGTCTACGGCCACAATGCCGGCCCACCAGTAGGAGTTGCATGATAGATGATTGTCTCTGTGATATTCATCTAGGGTTGTTACTACCTGTGATATGTTATGTGCTAAAATGATATGACGCTATGTACTAGTGACGGTAGGGGGAGATAGTCCCCAGATTACCGGCCGATAGGGTCGAAGGGGCGGTCGTGCCCAGACATGCTAGATAGATTATGTGATAAATGTGTTATGTGGTAGTAGTAAGGGGGTGAAATAGTCCCCAGTACCCGGTCGAGAGGACCGAAGGGGAGACCAGCACCCAGATATGCTAGTCAGTACCCGGTCGAGAGGACCGAAGGGGAGACCAGCACCTAGATATGCTAGTCAGTACCCGGTCGAGAGGACCGAAGGGGAGACCAGCACCCAAATATGCTAGTCAGTACCCAGTCGAGAGGACCGAAGGGGAGACCAGCACCCATATATGCTTGTCAGTACCCGGTCGAGAGGACCGAAGGGGAGACCAGCACCCAGATATGCTAGTCAGTACCCGTTCGAGAGGACCGAAAGGGAGACCAGCTCCCAGATATGCTAGACAGTATCCGGTCGAGAGGACCGAAGGGGTAGGTCGGGCACCCAGATATGCCGGACAATATATGTATGTTATGTAACTGTATGGTATGTGGTACGATGAGGGAACTCACTAAGCTTTGTGCTTACAGTTTATAGTTTTGTTTTCAGGTACCTCTTCGTCGAAGGGGAAAGAGATGGCGCGGTAGCGGCACATCATACACACACATTGATTTCCGCATCATGAGTTATTCTGGGATTTGTACTCTGACATTATTATGTTTTTATAAAATGGTTTCCGGACACACGACATTTTTATGAAATGATATGATCAGTGAATGTTTTATTTCTAATGTTTGCTAAGTATATGTTTCAAAAATGAATTTTTTGGCTCGTATTTTGGGATGTTACAAAAACGTAAGGTTCTTCCCAAACTAAGAAATTTGACGAAATTAAATAAAAAACCAAATTTTATTAACGGAAACTGGGTAAGGATAACGAAAAAGTTTCGGGTTGTCACAGAGGTTTTACGACATCAGTTTATGACATACAAATATTTCTGTCATAAAGGCTCTATTTGTGTATTTTCTTGATGCAAACTTTTATATTGAATATTTATAAAATACTCCCTGATAGTTTGCAAAATAGTCACAAAGTTCCCATTTTCGAAAATCACTAGAAATAGTGTCAACTTATCAAGGTCCCTTTTTATAAGTTTTATCTCTAGACATGAAAGCATAGATCAAGGGGTTAAGTTGGACACAACCAATAGTTGGGAGGCTCTTTTGTTCACAAAGTATCCTCTGTTCCTTATGAAGTTGTGAAATCTTACGTTCATGAGGATATTACTAAAATAATAATTTAATAATATTTCACACACACATACAAACATACGTATACATGCAATTATTCAAGTATTTAGGCAAGATTTGACTTGTACTCTCCCCCAAAAACATTAAAATATTAAAAAAGGTGGGGTATGAAGCTCACCTTGAGTTGGTTGAGGAGTTGTTTGGAGTTATGGAGTGAAGATCTCAAGCTTAAACTTTTGGCTGAGATGAGGAACTTCTCTGGGAAGAATGTTATCCTAAGGTTGATTATCACATATTATTATGAATAAACTAATATGGATTCATCTTGAAAATTATGTAAAATCTTAGATGATGGAGAACTTACTTTAGAAAAACTCCAGGGACGATTTGAGAAATTTTGCTTCCAGCAAGATCCTTGTTCTTGCCCTTGGGATAAGCTTTTGAGAGGAAATGAGAGAAGTGAGAGGAAATGGATAGCCCAATCTTTCTTCTATTGTCGTTGTTCTAGTAGTTTAAGAAAAGGGAGGGAATCTTTGGTGCATGGGGATCTGATGGTCCAAGCTTTGTTATTTGGTGGGTAAAGCATGGGATACTGTGATTTGCATGGGGAATGAGAATTTCATCAAATCACAAGGTCAACCTTTTTGTCCTTATCTTGATTTAGGATAAGATCTTCCTAAATCCCAAACATTTATTTTATGTAAATATGTTTAAAATAATTAATTTTGGCATAAAATAGGGGTTTAAGGGGTTTAGGATAGGAAAAATGAGAGTTTGGTGTGATTTCCGACGTCAAAATGCCTTAAAATGATGAAATGGTCCGGAAATGGCAAAAATCCGGAGCTTAGAAGCGAAATCCGAAGTCCTTATGAAATTTCCGGAGCAAAGGAGTAAATTCTGAAGCAAACAGTGAAGTTCCGGAGCAAATCTCGCAATTCCGGAGTGCTCTTCTCGGATTCCGAAATCAATAGGCGAGGTTCCGAAGTCCTTTGCGCAATTCCGGAGGTCCGGACCGAAGATGCGAGGGTTGGCCAGACTTCCGAAGTAGACCTAAGCGAGGCCTTCCGGAGCTTACACATTCCGGAGCAGTAAGGAGGTCCGAAGCATGGGGGTTCCGAGGATGTGGCTTCTCTTGGCTCCTTAGGAGGCATTCTGGACCAAGAGGTTCAGGACCAAGAGGGTTCCGGACCAAGAGGTTCAGGATCAAGAGGGTTCCGGACTAAGAGGGTTCCGAACCAAGAGGGTCATTTTGGGGTTTCCTCTTCCGGTTTTGAGCTGTTTTCGACTAAGGAATGTGCTTAGAGAGATTTGAGAGAGATTTCACATACTTGGAGAGATTTGGGAGAGATTCGATATACTTGGAGAGATTTCACATACTTGGAGAGATTTGGGAGAGATTTCACATACTTGGAGAGATTTGGGAGAGATTCGATATACTTGGAGAGATTTCACATACTTGGAGAGATTTGGGAGAGATTTCACATACTTGGTGAGAATTGTACTCTATCTTTCCATGGTCCATTAGGAACCATAAAGTACACTTTTAATGTGTTAGCACAAGTCTCACAATAGTTATTGCTTACATGAGGACGAAATTTCCTAGCCAAAATGCTAGTTGTGACAATTATTTATATGATAAATTTGTCAATCATCTACAGATAAATATTACCTTTGTGATGCCGCATACACCAACACCCGTGGATTTATGGCTCCCTACCGCAATACTAGGTATTGGTTAGCCGATTTTCGAAGAAACAGAGCTTTAACAAAGGAAGAAAGGTTCAATCATGCTCATGCACAACTTAAGAATATCATTGAACATGCTTATGGTGTATTGAAGGCGAGATTTCCAATTTTAAAACAAATGACTCCTTATCTTTTTCCAGTGCAAAGAGACATAGTCATTGCTTGTGTTGCGGTCCATAATTTTATAAGGAAATACGATATTGAAGATGAATTATTTACGAACTTTGAACAAAACACTATGGTTACTCCTAATATGGGTGGTGGAGGAAGTGAGGGCCAAAACATAGAAGGTATAGAATGGGGTTTAGAAGTCGTTGACTATATGACTACTTTGCGTGACCAGATTGCTAATCAGTTACTTTCAAATGGTTCACGTTAAATGATGTACCTTTTTTTATTATGTATGACAATTTGTATTTGGATTTTGTATTACACTTTGTATTTGGATTTTAATTAATGTATGTTTAATTTGGATTTTATATGATAACTTGTGTTTTTATAATTTTTTTATCCAGCACAAGAAACAACACAAGGGTAATATAGTCATTTTTTTCATTCAGCACAACCATTCAGATAAATAATCAAACAACATAAACTCAGTCAGATATGAACTCAGTCAGCATTTCTAACCCAGACAGCTTCTAATCCAGTCAGCTCTAACCCAGTCAGCAACTATCAAACGACCCCTTATAAGTAGATGACCTCTAATAAGAAGAAACAAAAACAAAATAAATTAATATTATAAACACACCCACACCAAATGATCTCTGCATATAAAACACTATGCAACACCGGTCCATAATGAATATAAAGAGGGCAACACTAAACACATAAATATTGTATTGATACATAAGTATTCGAAAGTAAACAAGTCGATGAGAAATGCTAGTAATACAAATACAAAGTAAACATGTAACACTAATAAGTAAATGAAACTTAATGGCAAATTCAACGAAGGCAAAAGAAACTAGTCCCGAGATTACTCTTACAATTCGACACACACAATTTCAGTTATGTAGTCTGTATGGTTAAAAAAAAAACATGTTGGTGACCCCCTTTGATTTTTTATACTTTAATATGCACTCTTTTCACTATTCGGATTTTTAAAGTGAAAACTATAAAATGGTCTTTACGAAACTAACAATTAAATCACTTAAATTCAAAATAAAATATTAAAACGATGTATTTAGACTTTAATTGATTAGGGCGTGTGCTATTTGCATTTTACAAATGGAGAAGGTTACCATTCCCTCCAAACTCCCGCCAAAATTTCCATCTACCCAAACTAGGGTTTCCACCGCCAATCGTTAAAAGTCACAGTTCAGAACCAAAGTGGAGGTATAAATCATCAATCATATGTTCATTTTTCGTAATTATAACTGATTTTAGTCCTCGGATTCAATACCGATCAATCAATTAAACATGGCAGCCATGGAGGTGGATCAAGAACAGAATCACGATGTAGAAGATGATCCTTTCCTTCGATTTGTGGATTACTCGATATCTGTATTATCCCCAGCGGATGACGAAGATGTAGTTGATGAAGAATCTAGTAGACCTGCTTGGAGCTGGGTTGCTGGTCGGATTATCAAAACTTGTAAAGCTTATTCAAGTGGAGTCACACCCGCCATTCTCCTCTCTGAACTATCGCAGGTTCTCTGGAACAAATTTTTGGAGTTTTGGTTTCAATTTTGTTTTTTAATTGGATTCTAGATTTGGGTTCAGTATTTCTTATCGAAGAAACTATAAATGCAAACCATCATTGTATCAACAGAACCAAAAGAAAAGCACATTCCTTTGACAAACAAACCGCTATTGTGTAAATTGGGGGCGTTTGGATGTGCGCTTCCAAGGTTTTTAATGTGATTTCTGTATTAAATTTTGAAACTTGTGTCTTTAGGCATGGGCTGAGAATCTAAGAGGTGGGTATTCTAAGAAGAAAAGGCCAGAATGTATTGATCAGTTGCAAAAGAAGCATAAGAGAGGAAAGCTACCCAACACAGTTACAATCGATTCAATCTATGAAAAGAATTTCTTGTCATTGACTAATGTTCTTGAGGTTGTCATAGTTGATGCTTTTCTTCTTCCAGGTATGTTCAAACCCCAAGTCATTGAATGTGAATAGGCTACTTTACATTGTATGGAAAACCTAAAGGTCATTGCATATTGGGATATGTCATGTTAGTATTTAGCTTTTAGAATTGGAATGCAAAGTTGTTTTAGAGACTCTGGTTGTGAGGATCCAGGATCTCATACCAGGGTATGCACTATCTTACAATTTCTTTTCAGGACATGCACTACAATAACAAATATCTGTTTTTCATTTTTTACACTACAAAATAATGTATATTTATTTATAGTATAAGGGTAGATTTTCACGACACTTTTATTCTAGTTATAAAATAGGATTTACAGGAAAAAAATGATCAAATTACAAGGGGTGGTTGCAAAACAAATAGTGTGAATTATGATGATGATCAATTGTTTTCTTTAGGGACAAATTTCTACATGCTTACCTTGGGAGATTTTTGGAGCTCCAATACTATTGATCTTTATCTTCATCGCAGGTAACAGTAACACTAGTAATAGTACTTTTTCAAAAAAAAAAAAAAAAACACTAGTAATAGTATGAAGTATCAAGTGGCAATTTCTTTGATAACATGATTTTCTTGGTTTATAATATTTTATCAGTAGCATTTAACACAGGTTTTATGACTTGGCTGACCTTAAAAATGGAATATTGAGGAAAGGGAGAGAAATTTTCCTTACTGGATGTTATCTTAGAACAACCTCTCGTGGATCTGGTCGCCTACGTCTTCTACCAACAGAATATCTACTCATAATCCTAGATGAGGTAATTCCTAAACTTACTGTGGGCCCCACTTATAAATACTAGATCCCTCCATCTATTAGATTCTTAAAATACTCTTTCCAAAAAGACAACTTGCATATCTTTAGACAGTTTAAAATAGTTCTAAGGAGTAGAGTTTATTATGGGAAGCAATCTTGGATATGAAATGTGTATAATACAAGGGTAAAATGGTCATTTGACAATGGTGATTAACATTACAGGATGAAGATGATGACGCAATGCTGCTTGCAGCACAATTCTGTTCTGATTCTTTATCTTCAGTTTCTGTTGATGCAGGAATCTCGTATTCTTTATATGCTAGGTAAAGCCTTAGCCGACACCAAATTGACCATATTACCCTTTTTTCTATTTAGTGACTTGAAGACTGGAATTTATATGAACAATGTTTGAGACTTCATACTTATATTAATAATTAAGTTGAAACAATTTTATTGCTTAATCTGTACAGGATCGAGTCGATTGGATGTTTAGAAATTCAGGGGAAGTTTGGTAGCTTGCAGAGGAAACAAATTACTCTTGTAGACAATGATAATTTCAGGGTAAAATTTGTACTATGGGGTGATCAGATCATGCTTGCCAATCTTTTCAGGTAAATTAACACCTGTTTAATTTGTTATTCTTTTTATAAAAAGACCATATCAACCCCTTTATCTCTCAACTGTTTGCAACTTTTATTCTTTTCAACTTAAACAACTTAATACAATATCTCTATCTGGAGTAACTGTGTATACGTAATAATTCTTTCTTTTTTCGTCTTAATGAACTGTCTGAATGTGAGTGAATGACCATTTAAACCTTCTAGACCGAATAAATTGTTGAATATGAGTAAATGATCATTTTATTGTTGTGCATATATATAATCAGTAATGAAGTTTGTTGCAGTGTAGGAAGTTGGGTAGCATTGGATCGACCATTTGTTTCAGCTTGTATTGAAATGGATTCATCTGAAGAAATATCTCTGGAATATGGGAGTGTTACTCAACTCTATATGGTGCCTTTCATTCGACATGAAGAACAAGTAATCAATCTTTTTTGTCCACCATTGTAAAAAAAAAAATATTAAAAATGTAACTTTATTAACAAGGAATTGTTTAGGTATCTGTGGCATCAACACAAAATCATTATCAAGGGTCAAAAGTGTTGACTGCAGTTGATCCAAGTCAAGGACCTAAAGTTTCTCAGGTGACCTTGCCATGTGATTCTCGGGGAGCCATTGACTTCAGTAGCTACCCTTTCAGGGTAAGTAAGTTTGATGTTTACTTTTTAGCCTTAATTACAATATATTTGAAAAATCTTTGATATGTGCATTTCTATGATATTTTTGCATTTCATTTTTTTTTACAGTTATTTGCAGGTGATCTTAGAGACAAGATGACTAGCATAAGCATCTATGGCACAGTTACAGATATTAAAACCACAAATAATCAAGAATCCATATTCTTGTTGAGAATCCAAGATCCAACTGGAGGAATATGGGCTAAGCTACATTTTCTCAAATCTTGGTATTATTATTTCTTTTCTTTTTAATTTTTCCCATCAAGAAAACATATAGTTTATTATCTGTTGGATGTCTCTTATTAGGTCATTAGGGAAATTAAGCATTGGTCACACAGTATACATTGCTGGCTTAACATGCTCTGTGACAAAACACAAGAGGTGAGAACATATAAAATCATGTTGATTACTAAATTATTTTTGTGTTTAACAAAAAGAGTCAACCTTTGACTTTTGAGCTAAAGATTTACTTAAACTGTGAAAAAAAAGTATACCTATCTAAAGATTTGTATTAATATCCCGAAAACTAAAAGTTATTTTTTTTTTAATGGAAATCAGTATCGAAGTTTCATGGCATGAGAAAGAAGGCGGATCTTTCTTTGTTAACCTCAGTTGCTTACCAGCTTTGCTAAATTCTTCATGCCTTCACAAATCCTCCACACTTTCAGATCTATCACTATCACCCAAAACTAACACACATGTATTTACTCTTTCTTCTCCCTTTTTATATCTTCACATATTTTACATTATATTTAATAATACATGCTTATATGTGTAATTGTATATACACTCTTTCAGGTGTGTCGAATTTGGCTAGAAAACATCGAACCCTGTGATGTAAATTTACGATATTGTCACTCATTATGTGGACACACGGTTACAAAGAAACGTGGGTCCCACTGCAGCTTCTGTGGTTGTGACTGTGATGATGTCATCCATAGTTTCCATTTAAAAGTCACGATTGCAGATGATACAGGGAAAGTTATAGCCTGGTGCACAGACCACACAGCTACTGAGCTCCTGCAAATTTCTCCTGATGAATTCTACAACTTGCCTGAGGTATTTCTTTATTATTACATTTTCTCTATATACAAAATATTTATTATTTAAATACAAAGTAATGCATTTATTGAAGGTGTTATTATTTTATTTGTAAATGAATAATGACAGGAAGAGCAAATAATGTATCCGTCTTCTCTTGAGCATGAGAGGTTCATTGTTGCATTGGTTAATTCGGGATCAGCGGATAATATCTCCAATTGGGAAATCACTCAGGCATTGAAGTCTGACTAAAATATCAAATCTTTTTATTTTTGTTTTATTTAGCATCCAACAAAATGAAATTGAAAACAAACCGACTTTAGTTGCTATTTGTAACGCTAAGGACTTGGAAATCTATAACTTATGTTATACCCATAATGCTTTTATGATATCATTAAAAATTAGTCTTGTTATATATTCTGTTATCATGGAATAAATTACTATTGAGAATTTGAATTGTTTTTTTTAAACCACTGTAACATGATGATGATAGGATCAATTTAAGGTCCTACAAACAATGATAAGTGATTCATAGAGATAATTATTTGGCTTACAATAAACAATAACATCTATTTTCAGTGATGAAGATAAGGGAATTTACGACTGTTTTCAATGATAATTTCAAAGAGCAGTGTAGGGAAAGGTATATATATATATATCTATTTTCAAACCATCTCCCTAACATAGTGAAATCAGCAGGATTCGTATATAGGAAGTCTGCTTGTCTGACAGTATGAGCAACCATCATTTCTCTCTCCCAAAAAAAAAAAAAAAAAAACCTTAAATTGTCGGGACTTCAGAAATTTCTCAGCTTGAATCCTATGCATCTCTTGATTATGTTGTCGGATCATACTTTCTCCATTGATTCGCTCCACCTGTGGCTGTGATGATAAGCAATTAATATGTTTCTCTCCTTTGTCAGCAAAGTCCAATCATCAACATACCTTCCTGTTGAAACTTTTCATTCAATTTTCTAGCAGTCATCAGATCTTCTTCCTCTTGATGTTTCTTGGCTACCAGCAGTTCCTTTTCTTCTTGTCTCCTCTTGGCTTCCTCAACCCCTGAATCATTTTTCTCCTCAAAATGTAAAGGAATAGACTGGGGTTCATCAGTAAGGATCCTTTTCCTTGTAGCTTTGGATGTCGTTGGAGGAGTTGTTGGCACTTCATTTTGCGGTGGAGAGGTGATGTAATCAATTGCATATGTTGAGTTGGAGTTGTTTTCTGCGTAGAGGGTGGAATATCAACTTTGGGTTCATTAGCAACCCTTTCTGAATCAGACAAATTCATGGGCTCTAGTTGTTGTGCATGTGCTTCAACTGGCTCTTCTTCCCTTTTTGTGGAGGTACCCACATCCACAAACTTAAGGGTTGTATATTTCGTCTCCCCTAGCTTTTCATACAAGGATTCAAAGTGTTTCGATAGGTTCTTACTAGGGTGAGCATTTGGACCGGACTGAAACTAGTTTTAGTGGTTTCACAGAAGTGGGTGGACCATGAACTGGACTTGTAGAGGCTTACCAGCTCCAAGTCCAAGTCCGGCACCGGTTTTGATTCTTGGGCTTTCTGGTTCATTTACCCATTGGACCGGTACAGTTTTTGTTGCATATGATACAAGTCGTTGAGACCCTATTGAAAGTTAGTTTTTTTTTTTTTTTTTTTTTTTAATAATAAAGTTAGTTTATTTATTACGAGGTTGTTATCTTTAGTCTATTCAAGCTTTGTTTATAGCACTTTCACATGTATGTTTATAACTAATACATTGTTAAATGTATGTAACATCCTCTTTTCACTTTTAAATTCATAAAGTATAAGCTTTTGTTTATAAAAATATAAAGTGAAAATATATTGGGTTTAGCTAAAATGATCTAAAGGAAAGTTTTAGTAGACGAAAATACAAAATAATTGATATAAAGAACGTCAAAAACGGAACATGTATGAGAAAGTTACAATTATCGAAGATAATGAGAAAATAGCAACTTTCAAACCAACACCAACAAATATTAAATATAACAGCCAACCACCCCAACTACTGGCATTAAATGCATTATAAATAGAGGACTTGTGCTCCTCATTTCATTGCACCTCTTCAAATCTCTCTCTCTCTCTCTCTCTCTCTCTCTCTCTCTCCATTGTGATTTGATTTCTCGTTCTAGAGTATCGTTAGCAAAACGCTGAAAGTTTTTGGAAAGGTCTTTAAAAGAAAAGAAAGTAAGCGTCGAAGTTACACTCACAGTCCTTCAGATTTCGTCAGCCGATTAAGTTACACTTACTCTTAACTATAACTGAAGATATTCTTAGTCATTGTTATGAACCCCACAAATATAAGATTAGTCTAGGGGTGTGTATGGGGAGATTTGGTTCGGTTATTGGTCAAAACCGAACCATAACCACTATAATTGGTTAATGTATTTCGATAACCATTTGGTAGCGGTTAATATTGGGTTTTGGTTAACGGTTTTAGTCGGTTAATGGTTAATATCGGTTAACCAAAATGGTCAAAGACGACATAAAAATAAAATAATTTTCTATAAAAATTGAAAAAATAAAGTCTATCGTTATAAAAAGTGAATGATTGTGTATATATAATTGTATTGATAGAAGATTACTTATTATATCTAGCTCCAAATATTAATCTTTAGATTTTTAGTTCCTAATATAATTACATACCATATATTTAATATTATATTTTATTATTTTATTAAAAACACTTATTAATATTATTGGTTCGGTTTGGTTTATAATGGTTCGGTTTTAGATTAAAACCATAACAGAATCATATGTATTTGGTTAATCAAAATTAGAAACCGAACCATATCTTTTAGTAATGGTTCGGTTATATCGATTAATTTGATTATGTTTCGGTTTTCGGTTAATATGCTCACTCCTAGATTAGTCATTAATTCCAATTAAAATACCGATTGGTCTACTTACGAGAATGATGTCTAGGATGGACATATCGACGTGGTTGTTGGATTTCAGAAAGACTATATGCCGAAATGGTCTTGCCTTCCGATTGTCTTGACTGGCCAATCCTTATTTGATAGTCAATCCAGTATTGTGAGATTAATGAAAAATTTAGATATCAGTTTTTATGATCAAATAGTCAGTAACCGGGTATAGCATTATAGGTTGATACGCGTTGTTGTGCCTGTCTTTGAACCAACCTACTTAGTTGATTCAAGACTGATCAAGTGAATTGCACTAACTCATTTATTATGTTCACTGTATCTATAAAAGTGTTGAATTGTATATATATGTTGATCATGAGTGACCCTATAAGGGGAAGTGATCAAAGTTAAAGAATGATCATGAGTGACCCTATAAGGGAAAGTGATCATAGTTTGTCATGAGTGACCTTATAAGGTAAAGTGACAGTATAGGGTTGGTACCAAAAATATGTGTTTCAAATTTATACGATAAGTATTTATCTGTTATGTGATATATACTTAATATAATGGATTAGTACTATGTTTACTCACTAAGCTTTAAGCTTATCATCGTTTATTAATATTTTCGAGACCTTCTAAGGTAAAAAAAAATGGAAGAATGCGATCTGACTGCAGCACCATCCACATTATGTTTAATATTTTTTAAAAGATTTATTTGAAAGACTTCCGTTGCTTACTCTAAATCAAGCGTTTTCAAAAGGAATATACATGATGTTTTATTATCAGTTTTTAATTGGGACGAAAACATATGCTTTTATCTTTTGTTGTAAAGAATCAGTGTGTTACAATGTCACAATGCTCACTTGGTTTATATGATGAGTAGAACTAGATCAAATACATTGTTACAAGGTTGTTATCTCCGTTTTTGTCTTAATTTTTTCAAGAAATGTCACTATCCCTGTAATCATATTGAAGTCCCAATTTTTCGATACTCTACCAAGCAGGGCCGGCCCGTGGGCCTGGGCAAGCTGGGCGACCGCCCCGGGCCCCCAAATACCAAAGGGCCCCCATTTTGCATTTGCTATATTGAGTTAGCCCATTATTTTTAGCCTAGTCCACTAATTATCAGGCCAAATTATAATATACGAGAGGAACCAAAAAGCGGGAGCAAGATGTCGAGCGTGCGTTCACAAATCCCTCTTTCCAAGGCTATCAACGATTTCTATGGAGATTCCAAATGTACCGCTTCCACTTCTCCAGACTCCACACAACGGTTACTTCTATTCTTCTGATTTTTTTTTCTTTTCTGATTTCTAAATCTCATTATCTCACAATTTCTTCCATCCCCTATGAATCTCTAATCGATTTTCCCTTGAGAGCCGAGAGTGCATCAAGCGATTCTTCATTCTTATTTTTGAAATTAATAGAGCAGGAGACAAGATTCTTGAATTTATTCTGAATCTGTGACTAATTTCTGAATCAGAAATAGCCTTAGTTAGTTCTAATTTCTGAAATACCCCTATGTTTTTTTATTTTTTGTTTCTTTATGAAGGATTGAATCATTCTGAAGTTTGAGACTCAAAGAATTCAAAGACTCAAATCATGAATTGATTTCTGAATCTATGTAAGTTTAATCTGATTCAAATTTCGATTTTTTTTCTTACAATTGAATATAATTATACAAATTTCGATCTTAGACTTTTAAATTCGATTTTTTTTTAATCTGATGCAAAATATTGATTCTTGTTCTTACAGTGTCTCATTCTAAATTCCAGATACTTGTTGTATTTCTGATTTCTGTTGCATTTCACTTTCTTACAGCAGATTAGAAAATTAAGAAGATTGAATAGTTTTGCCACATTACAAATTAAGAAAGATTTGCTAGATGATATTGAATTTGATAGAATAATCGATAACTTTGCATCTAAAAAATTGTTAAATGTAATTTTTTTAGTTTTTCTTTGTTATGTTTATGTATTAGGAGGGTTCATAATGTTTCTTTGTTGTTTTATATTTAATAGTTGTTAAGCTGTTTGGTGGCTTTTGATCCTGTTGGGAAGCTTTTTTTTTTATTTTTATAGTTGGGGAATCCCCACCCTACAATTGTATTATTTTCTTTAGTTAATAAAAGTTTTTAGAGATGTCATGAAGGGCCCCATTATGTATTTTGCCCCGGGCCTCAAATTGTCTTGGACCGACCCTGCTACCAAGATCCCTTTCATATGATTTCTATTTCAAAAATACATAAAAATGAATTATGATTAATCATAATGTAGAAAAGGAAAAACTAAAAATGATAAAAAGCTGAAAATTTTCCAGCCTTGATATCCTGACTTCAGGGGACTGTAATGCATTGAATATGTAACTAAAAATAATGAAATTACTCATTAAATTAAATGTTATAAAAAACCCAATATGACTTCAAACGAATGAGATATACATGTTTTAAATATTTCACAGACTACAAAAAGCTGTTGAAATGCTGAAAAAATAAAACAATTTGATCTTTTAAAATTATCGTCGAAACTAGTTTTGTACCAGGAACCGACCGAATCTATCTGGTTAAAATATCGGGCTGTTTTTGCATAATACAAAGAACTAATAACCGGTGGTGTGTATTTTTAATGCACTTGTTTTTTATTTATAATTCCTAGTCTATAGCATCTAAACCACAACTTACAGGCAGTAAACCTGATCGAGTATAATATAGTTTTGATAAGTAAGGGTGTTGAACTCAGGTGGAATGGTGGTGAATTAATAATATAATTTTTTTTATTATAAGTTACATTAAATAAACGAAAGCAATAAAAGATGGGGTTTTGATTATGAAAGCTCTATTAAATTAATAACTAAGTTAACTAGATAAACTAATTGTAAACGGATCATTTCAGGTACTTTGGTTCGATCGGATTTCATCTCAAAATATTGGAAAAATACTTCAGTGCAATGGTTATTTATTCATTATTCACCGATTCCTAAATTGACTAGTTTCCGGGTTTAGACAACTAATCCTTTGATTTTTGAGACTTTTAATTGTAGTGATCAAGTAAACTAATTATCCTAAAAATTAGTGTCTAATTTATATTATGAAAGACTTGAATTATTAGCATCAAAGATCATGAAGCTACTACACACGAATGGTCACCATATGTATTCTTACACATTAAAATTACAGACATTACTATTCAACCCTAGGTTTTGATCAAAAACTAGTCATACCAATTTTATGAATGTAAAATTAATATGATTCAAGCAAACTTAGATAGATTGATTGTCTAATCTATGAATTACTCAACAATAAATAGTAAAACAAACGACTTTAACACATAATGATCTTTTATCAAGAAAACATAATAAATTAAATAAGAATAAATAAACCAAAAAGAAAATTAATCCAAAAATCTCAATGATTCATATAATCTTAAATGCAAAGCAAAAAGTTTTAACACCTAAATCCAAGTAAATAAAGTAGGAAAACAATTGGAATACTGATCGTGATCATAAAAGCAAACCGGATGATTCCCATCATGAATCCGCTCTCGAATCATTGAGATCTTCGGTCCATATCAGCTTAACGGCCCTCCGACCGCCTTCTAGACTCTTAAAATCGCAACTCTGAGGTTTGTAATCATAGAAAACGAATGGGATTGTAAGATATTTCTGTTGAATTAAGGTGTCTAAGCTCATAAATAAATTTATATATACTTGAATTAGAAACAAAGTCCTTTTTGGGTTGCCTTCATAACTAGTAACCGAATAGAATGACATTTGGAGAGAAAGGTTGATTTATTGATTTATTATATGATTAATAAATTGTAATAAATGATTTGTTAATATGTTATATGATTAATATATTAATTGTAAGTAGTAATAATTAATTAATAATTAATCAAAATTAATTTAGATTTAATTATGAGTTAATTAGAATTAATTAAAGGTGCAAAAACCTAAACTGTAATTGTTCAAAAGTTAAACAAAGGAAGGCTTCCAAAACCTTCCACATGTGGACAGTTTTTGAGGAACTCAATTAGGGTTCCTGGAAGCTCCTGCAGATAAGGATCCTATATAATGCGATTGTTGTTGCGATTATTGTTGTTCTGGTTTCCATTATTGATGTGATTTAAGGATGGAGATGTAGACCCTATGTAGAGAACCGTGGGTGCAGAAACATGGTCGGAATATGAGGCGTTAACTTGACGAGATCAAGAGAACCACTGTTATAGGAACATCGTCCGTGAAGAACCTACTGCTGTCGATTGAGAGGAGATAGGAGGGAGAAAAGTGTAAAAGAAAAAAAAAAGAAGGGAGAAGAGTGCAAAAGAAAATAAAAATAAAAATAAATAAGTATAATAATGCTTTAATAAAATGGAAGATATCAATCCTCTTACCTCCTCTTGACGTTCGATCGATATATAATGTTACATAGGGCATATATAAGGAAATAAGACTTCATATCAAATTATGAGAAATTTATTTTCTATACTTATCTATACATTCATAATCTATCATTTATCTATTTGAAATCAGTTTTTGTAGTAGTGGACATCAATTAATTTAGACAATTTATTATCATAAAAAAAGTAGGCAATGTGAAAATAAATTATTGTAAATTTTTTTTTTTATCATAAAACTTTCTTATATTTACAGTTTCTGTTTAAGAATTTGTCATAATTTAAAGGGTAGATTTTATTGCCATTTACAGTCACCCCCAATTATTTTTCAGTTTTGAATGTGTGTTGATTAAATCAATATCAAGATTTGCTCTTTCACTTTCGCCAAATATTATTGCATATTTTCTAGCATCCTATATACCCCCATTGACGTGGTTTAACATTAAATCGTATGTACTAGCGATTTTTTTGCTCCTCTGTTGAGTACTAATTTTAAGCCTACAATGACTGTTTCTTCGTTGTTAGACTTTGCCATATCCTAAATAGATGCAATTACTTTACTTAAAACTAATAACTAACTTTGATCAATAATGAATAATAGATTATATTATTGGAAATACACAGTTTAATCTTTTATTCCTAGTGCTTAAATAAATAAAAGAATATTTTCAATGAAATTAGGCAACCCTGGTAGTGGACTAGTGGTTATACTTATGCCACTTGTTCTTCTCTTTAATAATTAAGCCATCGAATATTATTATAGTACACAACTTGGCTTGCTTGTCAAATTTTTTGTCATTTAGTTCATAGACTATATAGAGTCAAGAAAAAAAACAATATTTCTAGAGATATCTGATATTCTTACATAAAGGTACAACTTTTATCTTTTTTTTAGTGTATACCACATATAAAAAAATATTGACATTTGTCATTAAAATATCATATCCATAATTATTACGAGCATTTTAGATATAAAAAAAAAGCTTGATTCCTGAACCATCATGTTTGTAATTAAAATACAGAAATACTTTTTCTAATGCAATCAAGTAAATGTCTTGTGAATCCCAAATGATACACTAATATGCAGTTTACCAATTTATAAACAGAAAAGAACATGCTTTAACTTACGCGCTTTTAATTCAAAAGCCTACTTCTAACAACATTTAAAAAAAATGAAGTTTCAGTTTCTATCTGTTATACATTTAATATATATTCAAAAACTTACACCTATTTTTCCTTAATATTTTCACACTTATAAAATTTGTGTATAAATTATAAAATATCTACTAATTTTACAAAAAGATACCAATAATGTTTCGTGATATACAAGTTCAAAAGAAGACCTATGAGTAAGTCCATGAGTCGCGTCACACCGAATAACTTTTCATCATATATATTACAAATCATCCACCGGACCACCACACAATTCTCCGACACGACATACAAGACAACACTTGTTTTTTTTAGAGAGAGAGAGAGAGAAGCAGTAGGGTGTTTGAGTGTGTGTGAGAGAGAAAGAGAGAGAAAGAGAAAGTAGGAGATGGGGGAGGCGAGAAGGGTCGGAGTTGCGATGGATTTCTCGGCTTGTAGCAGAGCCGCTGTGAAATGGGCGGTGGATAACGTTTTGAAGAAAGGCGATCATCTCATCCTCGTCAACATTCTCCCTGAAGGCCGTGAAGAAGGAACCGAGATCCAGCTCTGGGAAGTCACCGGATCTCGTACGTTAATTCAATTAATTCCTCATTATCATTTATCATTCATGTGTTTCTTTACATTTACATCATCATCGTTAATTTTCTTCTACATATTCCGTTTTCCATATATTATATTATTATAATCCAGCAGCCACAACTTTTGTTTGTGTGTGGGATCAGTGATGAAACTTTTGTTTGAGTTTGCTGGATTCGTATTTTTGAAGAAAAGATTATGTGATTAAACCGTGTTCAAGTGTTAATTATGAGTTTTTGTTAGGAAAAATACGCTTGATGTTTCTTTTTCATTCCTAATTATTATGTGTTTATTTCTTCATCATTATCGTTTTTTTTTTCAAGATTTTTGATTCCATTTGTCATATATTATTATTATTATTATTATTATTATTATTATTATTATTATAATATTCAGCAGCCACAACTTTTTCTTTTTTATTTTTTTATGTAGAAAAGGAAAAAGAGTCGATTACCACGTACACATTCGTTTTCTAGTATAATTTTATTTTTGATGACGCTTTTGATTGGTTTTCAGTAGAGTTTTTTTTGACTAAAATGGTGTTTTTGAAAAAAATATTTACTAAATAGGTGTAGTTTTAAAAATATTTACCAAATAGGTGTATTTTTAAATTTTTTTATTTTTTCTTAAAATTTCAGTTTTTTTAATCATTTTGCTGTTTTTTAGCATACTTTTTTTTTATTTTCTTTTTTACTTTTTGCAATAAAAAATGTGTTTCTTTTATTTATATACATCAAATAAGAGAAAAAAGAAAAAAAAATGGTTTGTACATTGCTCCAAGGATTAGAACACAAAAAAAAATGAATGGTTTTTTTTTTCTTATTTTTTTGTTACGACATGTATATATTTAAAAATAATATATACCAAATCAATTGTTTGATTTTAGAATTGTTTTCCCATGTTCCAGTTTATTAGTATATTAATTATTCAGATGGTTTTTACTTAAAATGATATTTATCGGTTCATATTGAAAAAAAAAATTTGTTTGTTAGTTTTTATAAAAAGTCTTTGTTGGTTTAGATTAAAAAAGTGTTGGTATAATGTTTACAAAACCAACAATTGCTTCTTACAAAATAAATAATTTCGAAATAGCTTATTTCGATAACCACTATCTGAAAAGAAAAAAGGGTCGAATGAACCAAACAAAAAAATATTGAATATGTTTTCGTATATTTTGTTTGGTTTATTCGACTTTATGTCTTATTCTTTTAATTTTTTTTCAAATAATGGTTATCGAACCAAGCTATTTTAGATATTTTTTTATTTTGTTTTGTATTTGTTAAAATTTTTGTTGGTTTGTACTTAAAACATTGTACCAATAATTTTTTTAATTTAAACCAACAAGACCAGCAAACAATTTTTTTTTCAATTGATTTGGTATATATTAGCAAAAAATACACAATTCTTTTCTTTTTGTATATCTAGAGTTTAGATGCAACAAGAAAAAAAAACTCAACGAATAATACAAAACAATAAGAAAATGATTTTTATTTCTTATGTAGATACTATAATAATAATAAATTAGAAAAAAAAACATTCTCATTTTTTTGTTTTCTAAACCGTTGAGCAGTGTACAAACCATTTTTTTCTCTTGTTTGATGTATATAAACAAAAGAAACACCTTTTTTATAACAAAAAGTAAAAAATAAAATAAAAAATGTATGATAAAAAAATCAGCAAAATGATTAAAAAAACTGAAATTTTAAGAAAAATAAAAAAATTTAAAAATACACCTATTTGGTAAATATTTTTAAAACCACACCTATTTGGTAAATATTTTTTTCAAAAACACCATCTTGGTCAAAAACTCTTCATTAGTAGCTTCGTTTCCGTGTGATTACGTAATCATTGGCTAGCTCTTTTTGATGACGCCTTTGTTTCTTGTAATAAATTGATTCGATTTGTCAGATAATTTGTTAATTATTGTTGATTTTTCGTATAGTTTGCTTCAAATAATGTTTATGTGATCCTATTATCTTTACAGCTTTGATCCCGTTATCGGAGTTTCGTGATCCCCAGCTTGTGACCAAGAAATATGGGACGAAGCCTGACCCAGAAACACTAGAAATCGTTAGTTTGGCTGCAACTCAGAAAGAGGTAACCTTTTTTTTTTTTTTTTTTGAAAGTTCAACGGATTTCCATATAAGGATACTATTTATTTATTTTGTATATCTATATCACTTTATAACTATATTTAAATATTATGATATCTAAATTGGGATTGGTTGAATCATTGTGATTTTCCATTAAATAATGATATTAGTCGATTATATGGTCTACATTAAATTACTAGTAACTAGTAATACGGTTTAAATTATTTTATATTCACTTAAAATAGATTATTCACTCATTGAATGGTTCAATGGCCCTGCAACTCTCTCTATTTAATCAATTTTAACTACAAGCCATTCAACCCCCGTTAAATTCTACATCATGCAAGAAAGAAGAAACTCTCTGTTTAATCAATTTTACTTTTCATTCCATTTTGTCAAATTTGGCTGGAATTTCTATAATATTTTTAAACATCACTTATCCACACATTTAGTTAATTAATTGAAATTAAAAAAAGAAACAAGGCGTTAGAATTGGATGTGAAAAGCTTTATTATATATATATATATATATATATATATATATATATATATATATATATATATATATCTACGGGTGCAGGTTGAGGTTCTGCTGAAAATCTTTTGGGGAGATGCTCGAGAGAAACTATGTGAAGCGGTTGATAATATCCCGTTAGACTGTCTTATTGTCGGGAACCGAGGACTTGGCAAGTTAAAGAGGTAACTAATATAACAAAATATTTACACTTTGTACATTTGTCACTAAATAATTTTCTATTGTAGTTAACATCACTTTACTTTCTTTTACCAATAAAAAAACCATTTTCTGATATCACCATTAAAGACAGAAAAACACAATGTACTTTCATCATTTTATCTATTTTTATGACAATTATATAAAGAGTACTAGTTTGGAGCCCATATCAATAAAATGTTAAGTATGTTGTGCTTTTCTGTATTTTACTATTTTTATAAACCGGTAATTGGGAAAAAATAGCCTTTTAAACCGTAAAAAAAAATATATATAGTTTAACCACTATTGTAAACAATTGTCTAAATTGTTACAATGATGAAAGTAAATTGTGCTATTATGTATTTCACTCTTTGTCAAACTTCCACAATGCCATTTCAATCTTACAAAATGGAGTGATGTTGGGTACTCTATGGATTCACATTGTTAAAATGCAAAAATAGCTTACATTGATTTGTTTATCATAGCATCCTACTTTCATTAATTAAGAGTTTAAGACTATATTTGGCATGACACAACAAGCTTAAAAGCTAGCTTATATTTTGAGTTTTTTTAGGTTGTCATGTTTGGTAAATCAAAAAAAGCTAATAAACTAGCTTTTTATAAAGCTACTCAGACTTGCATTTTAATGAATTTATTGAGTTTTTTTTTTTTTTTTTTTTTTTTTTTTTTTTTTTTAATTCTCTCTAAATTCCTTTTTATTTATAAAAAAAACTTCTCATATATGGTGTTTGTTTAATTTGGCAGGGCTATTTTGGGCAGTGTGAGCAACTATGTAGTGAACCATAGTTCTTGCCCCGTAACTGTCGTGAAGTCGTGAAGCAGGCAGATGCATAAGCGGGCCCATCAAAAGATATCAAATAATGCCACGTTTCTGCTTTTTTGGTTGTGTTTATTAAGAAGTCCTTTGTGATTATCTTTGTTTCGTTAATAAATTTGTAATGTAGAATTTCTTTTACTTCGTATTTATATAACCTATCACTTACCAACCTCCACACAAAAAAATTGGGAAAATGGATCAAATCTTTTTTTCAATTTTGTGTATATGCTAAAAACGTAAAATGTATACAAGTGGAAGCGGTAGGTTTTATTTGTATAGAAGGGTTTGATTAAATTCTCGAACAAATTTTTCTTTATTTCTGAGTTTTAAAAAAAAAATAAAATCAAAAGATCTCTTAAAAGCTTGTTGTTGGATATATCCTTAATATGTATATTTAATAATTTAGTGATATAATAGTATATATACTTTTTATTAAATTATTATTTTTTTTAAATATAACCATTATAATTGGGATATTAATAAAAACGACTAATTCTTTGTTTAGAATAAATGTATTTGACATTTGTCTCCGAGTAAGGATCGAAGCATTTTAGACCGGATAAAATATATGATGCGTATTTTTTTTTTCTGGTTTGTATCAATACTTTTCAAAAACTCGTTTTGCTAATATCTGAAATGACTATTTATAAATATCTAATATCATCCATTTTTTAATTAAATATCACATTTTAAGCTTTTGTATCATATTTACTTGCTATATATTTTCACTTTTTGTTAAACAAAGCATTTTCTCTATCGTACTATAATTTCGGAAAAGTTTTTTTTTTCTTTTCTGGAATCCTGAGTGTCAGTCTGAAATTTAAACTTTTATCAATAAAATCACTTTTAATATAACATAAAGTTAGTCTTAAATATTCAGAATGATTCATTCCACACAAAATAGGAATGGCAAAATGAGCATTTTCTCAATATATTTTGTTATTTTTTTTTAATTTCTAAAAAACTTTATATTATGAAAACTTGCTAGAATAAAAATGTAAAATTTATATGCCTAATAAAAAAATTAAATATCTTTTTTAATGACTTATTTTAAACTTCTTGATTAAATTTTGGTAATTATATATATATATTTTCTAAGTTAAATGTAAATCATTATATTAAATATATAACAATTTATATATTACATGAAGTCTTGTACTTTTCGTATAAAAGTCATCGTCGCAATAAATTTGTATTTGTGTTTACTATGTGTCCTGGGGATGGAACTAATACACATCAATCATGAGTTAAAATTTGTATGCGTGTTTACTATGTGTTCCGTTCCAAGTCGACATTGACAAAGCTTTTGACTCCATCAATTGAAGCTATCTTGAATCGGTCATGAGTCAAATGGGCTTTGGAGCTAAATGGATATTATGGATAAAAGGTTATCTTTCATCTTCTAGAGCTTCGGTGTTAATCAACGGCTCGACTATAAAAGAGTTTTTCATGACCAAAGGTGTCCGACAAGGAGACCTGATCTCTTCGTTTCTTTTCATCATAGCCATGGAGGGTTTAAACATTGCGTTGAGAACCGCGTGTCAATTAAATTTGTTCCAAGGATTAAAAATCCCTAATGGTAGACCCGTTCTATCTCATTTGTTTTATGTCGATGACGCGTTATTTATTGGAGATTGGGTGAGTTCGAATTTTGCTAATTTTGCTCGTGTGCTTAAGTGTTTCCATGCCGCGTCTGGGTTGAAAGTAAATTTTCATAAATCTAAGGTTTTTGGTATTAGAGTCTCAAGCAATGAAGTTTCAAGTTGTGCTAGGATTCTTGGCTGTGAAGCAGCTTCTTTTCCTTTCAAGTATTTAGAGGTACCGGTAGGGGCAAATATGAGTCTTAAGCGAAATTGGCAACCCGTTATTGAAAAAGTTCATTCTAAACTCTCTGCTTGGAAGGTCAAATCACTATCCTTTGGAGGACACTTAACTCTTGTTAAGTCGGTTCTTGGAAGTTTATCGTTTTTTTTCTTCTCTCTTTTCAAAGCCCCTAAATCCGTTATAGAGATTCTTGAGAAACTTCGTAGGCGATTTCTTTGGGGCAGAAATGACGAGAAGAACAAAATAAATTGGGTGGCTTGGAATGTGGTTCTTGGGCCCAAAGACCGAGGTGGACTTGGGGTGGGCTCTCTTACGGCGATGAACTAGGCTTTATTATCTAAGTGGGTTTGGAGATTTAAAAACGAGCCCAAATCTCTTTGGAGGCGTGTCGTTTGTGGTATTCACAATACCAATAGAAAGCCTGTTGATGTTGATGACTCTCTGGCCAAAAAAAATCCAAGGATCTGGTACAACATTATGAGGGCTGTTTCTTCAATGGAAGAAATTGGTCTGTGTTCCAAATTCAAGTTGGATCCGGTTTTATGGTTAGACAACTGGACCGGTTTTGGTACGCTCGCGTCTCGGTTTCTTTCTCTTTACAATCTGGACAAGAAAAGGTCTTGTCTTATTGCTGAGAGAATAGCTGACAGCAATTTGGTTGGGGCTTGGAAGAGGCTTCCTAGCAGCATTGAGGAAGTAGTGGAGATGCAGGAGTTAAGGGGGTTTACGGACTCCCTTATGCTAAATGGTGAGTCGAATGTTTGGAGGTCTAGACTCTCCAATGATGGGAGGTTTTATGTTCATGATTTGTGGGATCTAATAGATTCAAAGCTGACTGTCTCGACTCTTAATCCAACTGTTTGGTTAAAATTGGTTCCTGTTAAGGTTATTTTCTTTGTGTGGAGGGCTTGTATCGACAGAATCCCGTCGGGGATGGCTTTATCTTGTAGGGGTATAAATGTCCCAAACAATTCTTGTCAGTTTTATGATTCTGAGCTCGATGACACGGAACACTTTCTCTTGGGTTGCTCTCTCACGACAGGTGGATTTTTAATTGGTGTGGCATCTCGTGGTTGAACTTTCAATCAGTGGGAGATCTGGTCAAGTTTACTGCGATCCGGGGCAATTGTCCCAAAAAAAGAAAATTGTTAGCTATTATTTATGGCTATTTTTGGTGCGTTTGGAAGACGAGAAACGATATGATCTTTAACAAGATCCATACTTCCCCTCGAAGTTGGTGGACAACATGCTCACTGTATTTAGTTGGATCAAGCATATGGGGCTCATGGGAATTGTAATTGGACGGTTTGGGTTTCTTCTCCTTTCAATAATATTTTGTAATCGCTTCGTTTGTTTTCTTTTGACGTGCCTTGTTCCTTTATAGGTTGTGGCTTTTTTAATATATTCTTCCAAAAAAGAAGAAGATAAACCAAATAACCAATTTCCAAAATGATATATATTACACGCCTACAAATAATATATGATTAATAAACATTTTATTAAAATTTGCCAAAAAGAATTTTGATAGTTCTATATTTTATATACCTTCCCATGACAAAAAAGAAACGAGACCAAGAATTACACACCATATTTTAAGGATCACTCTCTAATAATTATAAAGAACAAGTGCATATTTTGTATCACTAAGATTTTGAAACTCCTTCCATAAGGCCATATTCTATTCAAAATATGAAAATATTACCAATTCCAATACAACTTCCACTGCATAAGGTACAACTCAATAAAACATTACACCTCATATCCATCGATTCTCACTATAAAACTCTTTTATATGTACTAAATCATTTTCTCATATACATATTATTATTAAATCTCCTGTCATAATACCATATCATAAATGGCAACACACCGAGTAATAATCATGAATCAGAGATTTACTTATCAATATTTCATGACTCATCAACAAAAACCGCACCATATCCGCTAGCTTTCATATACTTCTTCAAAAGTAGCACCAAAATAGCAACGGTCAGCCCAACCGCCGCCCACGTGAACAGGCGGTCATCGGAGCTTTTCTGAACCCTCACCACCTCCTGCCCCCGTGGTTCCACCGTGTGTACAACAGATGATGCAGAAGGTACAACATGTTTTGATACCCTAGGGTCTTCCGCTTCCATGTTAGCCTCATGGTTTTCTTCATTTTCATCTTCGGTGATCTCCGTGGTGGTGTTTTGAGGAGTCGCCGGAGCTTCACCGGCGGATTCTGTGGCGGCAGGTGGTGGCTGCTCTGAAGCAATAGCATCTTCAGAGGTCTGCTGAGGGACCGGTGGTGCTTTGCTGATCATATATTCATGAATCTGAACAATCACAAGATATTTAGTGAACTTTACTGAAATTAAAATTCAGAAGAAGAATTAAGGATGTGATTGATGACCTCATCAATGAGCCTTTGACGATCTGGAGTACCATATTTAGGGGCGCTTTCACGAGATTTACGTGCGAGAAGACGCCTTTCTTCTTTCTTGTAATCCAATGATCCTAAAGCTCCATTTGGGCTTGTAGGCATAAATGCTATAAGTGCTGTTAAAGCAGTCCTAACTGCAACATAATTGAGTTAACTCACATTTATTATGCAATAAATAAATAAATAAATAAATAAATTACCACTCCATGATGGCTGCCAATGCTCAGGGTGATGATTTGATATGCTTAAGCAAATCTTGGTTTGAGTTTCAAAACGTCCATTTGGCTGAAACAATGGAAATTACTTTAAATCATTACACTTATTCTCAGTGGGTAAATACTAAATACTAGTAAATAGTAAAAGTAGAAGTGCTTTTTTTATTTTTGTTTTTGTGGGAAATATGAATTCAATAATTAAGAAAGAAATATCAAATATCACCGTCAACAACATAAATGATGGTGGTTTGAATGGGTATTCAGAAGGCAATTGAATTCTGCCGTGATAAATTCCTCCTTCAAATTCGGTATCATTTGGTCCCCTTATTGCAAACTGCCATTCAAATATATTTTCCTGCAAAAATAATAAATAATACTAACACTTTAATGCCAAATCTATTCCAACGCAAAGATGGTTTGAATCTTGCAACAAATTTAAGACCACAATCATTCTATTTGTGTGTTTTTTCCTATTAAATCTTGGAAGCATTTCCAACGAAGGAAATGACAAAGACTTCTTGTTTCTAAAATATTTAATTATTTTAACCCTAAGGAACCAAAAAGTCAAAATAATAATAAGAATAATCAGTTATCAGTGAGTGTATAAACTGATTATCAAAACCCCTCCAACTCATTTGAAGGAGAGAACAACCTAAACTACCATGTAGCAAGAGAACCCCAGTTTGATTTAGAAAATTAGAACTTGAACTTCCCTGCTTTTTGAACCTCAGTAAGGATTCCTTTATAACTATATGAATCACTATCAAAATTGGAGTAAAATGGCAGATAATTCGACGCTTTGAAGTCATGAAAACCCTAAAGTTAGGATGATTATGAAGTGATAACTGAGAAAAATTAGTAATTACACTTAGCTACAAAGATAGAGATTCAAAGAAGTGGAATCTGAATTCTGATGTTTTCTTAACAAATCAAAATCCACCTCGGATTTAAACTGACACGAAATTCAAGCGGAATTAAACGTAATCACCAAATGAAGAAACAGATTATTTGGATGGATCTATAAAAGGAAGAGAAAAGACGATAGGTTATTTTGTAGAATTACTGAATTGTAATCGAATTACCTCAAGAGGAAGGCTCGTGAAATCATCAGATGGATTCGATTGCATTTCTTTCACCTCCTGTAAAATCCTCTTCACCGACGGATTCTTCATATTGTACTTATCACCCATTTCTTGGACTGAAATCAAATAGATCTGTAGGCGATTCTAGTGAAATGATGAAGAGGAAAATGGAAGGGGAAATTAGGGAAACGGGAAGTTCATATGAAAAAGGTTATATCCAAAAAAGGCAGGAAGCATTACTTTAACAGTTAAGACATTATCACTTTTCTACGTGGGAAACGGTTACTGGTGAGCTAATTATTATTATTATATACTCCCTCCGTTCCAAAATAATAGTCCCCTGACAAAAAACACACAGTTTAAGAAAACATTAATTACCATTAATTTTATTAAATAAAATGATAGTCTTACAATTCTCTTGTATTTTATTCTATGTTAGTTGCATTTAATTTTATTGTAATTTAACTAATAATAAAGGGGTATTATGGTAAAAGATATATTTATTTTTAGAAGTAGAAAATTATTTTGAGACAAACCAAAAAAGAAACGTGGACTGTTAATATGGGACGGAGGGAGTATATATTAAAGTTGTGAAAAGTTTTAAGATAGTTTGCCCAATTTTGGTCCCTTAAATTACATTTCCGTCCCTCTATTTTTGTTTCTGTTCCTTGGGTTACCACAGGCTTATGCGTATTCCTTCCCGATCCTTCCACTGTCTTCCTTTATCTATCTCCGTTCCAATTTCCACCGTCTTCCTTTTATCATCTTCATCAGGTCGATGGTTCTTTTACTTCATGCAGCCGTCTGGCTGCACGACCGCGACCACAGGTACTGTTCGTGGGTATACTGCCTCAACCATGGTCACCGCCCCACCATCCCAAACGCCTTGCTTCGTTCTTTATCACACCACCAGTTCCTTCCACCGCTTTCATTTTTCTTCCTCCTGCTTGCTGACCTGCGGTGCCACCACCACCGCCACCAGTTACTGCTTCTTCGGCGCCACCGCCACCGCCACCGCCACCGCCACCGCCACCGCCACCAGTTCCTTCCAGATCATTCTACTCTTTCTGCCTTCCTCCAGACCACCGCCTAACTACTCCATCCTCCATCGCTTTTAATTTTCTTCTTGGAATTGCAGTTCCTTCTACCGATCCATGCCCTTTCACCAACTTTGTGCCTCCCCTTCGTCTCAAAAATCCCAAAGTCTCCACCGCCGTCTCCCACTGTTCCACATCCCACTCCTCATTTCCGTTTCACCCAAATTCTAGATGAAGAAGATTCGGCTTCACAGTCGTTGCCTGCTCCCTCCTTCTTCGGTACTTCCGGGTCCACATCAGTTGAAAAGCTTCTCAGGTTTGATCAATGTCTGATTTCATTTTTTTCTGATGTATGTTTCAAAGAACTGGAAAGGGGTTTGTATTCCAGTTGTTGATTCACATCTTCGGTGAACTTAGCAATTTCCCAAAATATTTGTTCGTTATTAATTACTTCTGTCGATTTTTTTGTTGAGTTTTTGAATTTATTCAAGGGCTTTCTTCCAGTGGTTTTTAGTTCATTTCCAAATCTTCATCGCACTAAATTTCTCCTCTCTATTTGCTTACTCATGATTCCTTTTGTGGTTTGTAAGTGCACATAACGTGTTCGATGTATTGCCTCATTGACATTGTTTATTTTTTTTACTTAGATATCTAAAAATATGGGACATAAGACGAAAAGGATGTATACATACATACAAAGGTCACCCACGTGGGGTCAATGCAACAAGATTTACACCAGATGGTCGTTGGGTGGTATCTGGTGGAGAGGACAACAGTGTGAAGGTAAAATATCGTTTTTTTTAATTATAAAAAATGTCACTTTGTTTGTAAATTTTAACTATGTTACTTTGATGTCTGCAATATTTGACGGTTTTGATAACTATGGGATTTAACCGCTGGAAAGCTTTTACATGATTTCAAGTTTCATGAAGGCCAGGTTCAATGCATAGATTTTAATCCACATGAGTTCTTGCTGGCTACAAGTTACAGTTTATGCTGCAAACATTGATTCACATAATCTTTATAAAAAGTACTCTGTTTTTAAACTTTATTAATTCTCTTTGTCTGCATTCTTATCTTTCAGGTAAAGGCTCTTTAAACCTTTTATGTTTGAGATTACTGCTGCTTAAAGGTTTTTGATCTTCTTTTGTTCATTTTATATAGGTATGTCATATATGTAGATGTTAATATGAGAAATTAATGTAATTTAACTGATTTTAAATTTGTAGTTCTTTCATTTTCTGCCGTCGTCTGAATAGGATAGATAACGTACCATATGGATTACTTTATCCTTTAGAGAATTGACATTTGAATGTATGCATTTTAATTTTTGCAGGCTCCATGATCATTTGTTGAATCTGACGAGAAGTCATCAAAGGTTAGTTAGTTGCTTTCATTTATTGTGTAATCTTTATTTTTTAAGCAGTTTTGATTGCCATTTACTGAAGAACACGTCTCAGCATCACCTCCTGTTTTATGAAAGTAGAACAACATTTTCTACATATTTTATAAAGATTGTTTGTCCATTTTTTTACATAGTTATTAGCCTTTACAACTTCTTTTTTATTTACATTACAATTTTGGTAAATGTGCAAATGGGTCACAACAATGGAGTAAGGCTAAAGAATATTTCTTCAGTTTAGATAAGAACAATGTGGTTTCTATAAATGAAATTGTTAGATAGTTGCATACTTCAAGATTATATATTTCCTATAATACCCTTTTTACCCTTCTCACATGTAAGGACTGTCTGTGAAAGTGGATTCGATAGGTATGAACTTTGGGCTCACTGTGAGGCACACGAAACCCAAAAGTTTACTATTCTTCTAGGGGTATTTTTCTCATTATACTTGAATTTTTTGTTTGTGTTTACAGTGGTAGAAGTACTCAAGGGAAACACATTCCTAAGTTAGAATAACAGCTTACCCCAAATGAGCATGCAGATCTATACTCTCTTTCGCCATTACGGACAAGTATGTTAACACTAACCAATTAATATGCATTTCCTAAACTATAATCACACATTAGATGACGAGTTATAACAAAAAATTAAGTCATTATTTAAGTGTTTGAATGAATCTGATTATTTAAACGAGTTATAAATAAAATGACCAACATTAACATTTTTAGATTTTTACCTTTTTGTTTTTTGTTTAATGACTACAAAATTGAATTTATAATTTGAAGGATTAGGAACTAATTTGTTGGTTTGTTTTGTTAACCCTACAATTTCACTGCTCAACTGCATATTTTTTTAAAGTTACAGTTACTCCTTGATTGTTAGATTTTTGTAAATGACGATTTTACCCTTTTATATGTTTTAACATCCTTTTTTTTTCAACGTAACAACATTGTTAAACATAATGGACCCACGTCTTGATTTTTCAATCAAATTGTTGGTATTGTAGCCCAGCTTTCGGAATAAAGATAACAAATTTACGAATATAAAGTTACATATATGTAGTTTTAATCAACTGAAAAATAATTCTCCTCATGACTTATGTGCAGATATACAGGACACTATGCTCCATGGTCGGAGCATATACATTCAAGCCATTACAGAGGAGGTAAATTTTATATTTTTACATTCAAAACAATTTTAAGTCATCTTTATGTTTATTTTCCATTATTTTGCAAGCTAAGCGCATGGTACACAAGGGATGATAAGTTGTAATCGTAGGAGTTCACATTTATTACATTTCCATAAGAAATTACCAACTGCTGTTTCGAAAGCTATGCTTGCTCATTTCCAACAAGAAACAAAAAAAGATGGGAGTTTACATAAACAGGGGAACAAGTGGAGGAATGGAAATCAAGATTTCAAATTTTCTTAAATCAAACTGTTAGAACCAATATTCTTTGAAAACCTCTTCATTTGTAATAATAAAATTAAGAAATAGCAATGTACAGACGAATTGCAGATAATAGTAATGTACTTTATTGTGGCTACCATTTCAAGTGACACCTTCCAACCCCCCAAACTTTGGGGACACCTTTCTAGTATATATATTAAAGTTGTGGAAGAAAAGAATAATAAACTTGGGATACTTTGTCCAAGTTTGGTCCCTTGATTACATATCCGGTCCATGTACTTCTTTAATTAATTTATTCATGTCCTTTTGTTTGTGTTTCATTCAACTTCCTATTTTTTTGGCAGAATTGGTCCCTGTATTATTGTTGGAAGTTAGGAATACTAAATTTGGATTTTTTTTGGCAACTTTGGTCATTATTCTTTACCCATTTTGACACTTTTGGTCCTTGCAATCAATATTTTTACATTTTTTTGGAACCTTTTAATATTTAAAGTTTGGCCACAAAACTTTAACGGTTTGACAACTTTGATCCATTTTCTAAAAAGTTGCTAATTTCTACCCCTTTAATTCTTTAGCCATTTTCACATTTCTGGTCCTTGCAGTCAAAACTTTTACATTTTTTGTCCAGGGCAAAGCCCGGACTTTTCATCCTTGCACTTTCTATGTCTGTCATATTTATCAATTCGGAAACAACATTGAAAGCTTCTGGCTCCCGCATAGCGGGGGTAACCGCATAGCGGGGGTAACCTTTCTAGTAATATATTATAGATCGCATATATTAGTCTTTGTAACATATAAGTTTCAATAGATCGGTTTTGCAAGATGGTGGATCATAAGATGGTGAACTAATATGATTCCATTCACTTTTTATATGATTTTTAAAATCTTCAAGGAGCATTGATTTTTTAATCATCAAAGTTTCAAAATTGTCATCATTTTTCTCCTAAATCTTCGGAATAGTTATAATATTTTATCCTAATTTACAAAAAATTCCTAAACTAAATTTTTTTTTACGAAAAAAAGCATGAATTACCGGTAAAAATGACGATTTAATCATTTTTTTTTCCCAATTTCATTACTTACCCAGTTCCATTAAAGACCCATTATTTACCATAATTTGCGAATAAGTCTCAAACTAAAATTAAGTGATGATTTCACCATTTTTTTTTCAATTTAATATACATTTTACCGATGTCATTACTGATCTGGATGCCTAGTCATTTATGAACAGAAAAGATGGATACGATGAATTATATAATGCTAAGTTTACCGTAAAATTTAATATTTATCTCATCGACTTATTTATTATTATGTATCCAGGTCAGCAATGAAACCGGTAAAATATATGTTTCCAGAAAAAGGGCTGAAAATGAGTTGATGAGATGGATATACTGGGTTACATAAGATTAGATAGATAATTTGAAATTTCTTATAAAATTAAAAAACGACGAAGTTGTTACTAGTTTATATAATTATTGTAGTCTTTAGTGGATGCATTTTATATTCCAAAAAATATACAATACATCAGGATATCAAGTTTTATGGTAAACATAACATTATATGGCCCAACATTTCTATCTCATCAACTTATTTAATGATTATGTGTCAATGTCAGCAATGAAACATGTAATATGTATGTTACATGGAGAAAATGGCCAAATCATCACTAAATTTTAGTTTGAGACTTATTTGTAAATTATGGTAAAATAATGAGACTTTAATGGAACCAAGTAAATAATGAAACCGGTAAACCAGGAAAAATGGATCAAATAATTATTTTTACCGGTAATTCATGTTTTTTCATAAACAAATTTTAGTTTGAGACTTTTTCGTAAATTAGAGTAAAATATTAGGACTATTTCGAAGATTTCCCAAAATTCTAATTGTGTTAATTAAGACCTTAAATTTTAATTTGACCACCGTTTAGCTATTGAGATATATTATATCAGATTATATTATTGGTCCAAGCAAAGTCTAAGCCTAAAATTTTGGTTGAAGCTTTCAACACAACTTGTTAGTGTTGGGTTTTAGTTCAAAAATAGTTTCATAAACTAGAAAAATATGGCAACGAAAGATTTTGATTTTTTTTGAAATAATATAAACATTTTATACCCACCAATGATCTTCTTGCAAGTTATAGAAAGATTAAAACACCAACCAAAGAAGATGTGAAGAAATAACAACCTTTGTAGTTCTTTGGGTCCTCTTGGGAGGCTTGGAAGTTGATGAAGAATGCAGAACCTTTGAGACACCAACAATGACTCAACTTGATGTACATGCTAGTCCAAAACTCTTAAACCCTTAAGCTTTAAGTTCATAACCAATATGAACTTAAAGAAGGTTTGAAGATGCAAGTGTTCTTCAAGTTTTCTAACCAAAACTAGAGAGAATGAGGGAGAGGGAAGAGATTTCGGCCATTTGCAAGAAGTGAAGTATGAGCATTCTAGCCAAATGCAAGCCTCTTATTTATATGCAAAAAGTGAATGTATTAACCATTAGTCCTTAGCACTTTAAGCAAACTTGTCCCCAACGTCATAAGCATGTCTCCCATGCCTTTAAAGCATGATTAAACAAGTCATACACTTTTTCTTTTTATGCAAATCTCGAAAATTGCATAAAGAAGAAGAAAGTTCATTTAAATTTTATAAACTCAAGGTTTATAAAATATAAACTTTGTCTTTTGAGTAAAAGACAAAAAGTTTTCAACTAGTCCAAAAAGTTGTGCATGACTTATTAATTCATACCATATGAAATAATATAATGTTACTTGCTAATAAAAATTATTATTTCCATGAAATAAATAATTTCCAATTTAATTATAAGAGTTTTATTGAATATTTATTAAAATCAATTTCTAATAAATAATCAATTGTATCAAGTTGTTGTTAGTGTGACCCATTAGTATCATATGTTATTTAGCAATATCACTTTAATATGACTCTTAAGCATACTAGATCTTTCAGTTAGATCCAAAACTGATCAATCCTTTTTAGGAGACATTTCAAGACTCTTTTGAAGTTCTATCAAGAATAAAGCATAATATTTTAATTTTCATGTGTTGCCTATCCATGCTATATCCTAAATACTAAATTCGAGCCCAAATTTGATGAACGAATTTTGTTTGTATACCCATCCATATCCATGAGTTCATTCAAGTTTCATAATTTAGTGTCCACACAAAACTTGCCACTTTGGTTCAAAAAAGGTTTGGACTAGTACCACAGGTTTAAATTTTCATTTTTTTGCGAGTTTGGTCAAATTTTTTTTGAACTTTTTTATAATGACGATTTTGCCCTTGATATTTTCTTTTTTCATTTTTTAATTACTTTAATGTTTTTTATTAAAAGAAAAAATAAAATTGAAATTCAACCCTCAACCCACCTCACACTTTTAACATACTATATCTCTCTTCCCCCATCTCTCTCTTTCTCTCTCTCTCTCTCTCTATATATATATATATATATATATATATATATATATATATACACACACACACACACGCATCATGTTGAACATGAGATTCAGATTGCGATCAATCTCATTAGTTGTTCAACTTTTGGTAAGGCGCCTTAGATGTCTAACTCTCAGCACATAAGAGGAACAAATCCCATCTTGACTACATAAGCCTCTTGCATAGTCCACACCATACCTGAAAATGGCTTTTATAACTGCCCGATTAAGGAACAACATTTGTCCATTATCAAAGCATAGTACTCCATATACTTAAGTCCTACTATGTATCTCAGGTGTTAAGGATACAAAGATAGTACCTTTTAATCAAGTATCATTCACGATAGCGATCCATGAGATGATCTTGATGCGGGCCAGTTCAATACTAGTTCTCTGACAAGTACCTATGAAACTTGGTTACAACCACTTGCCTACTTTCATCTAGTGAGAGTCAACCAATCCAATTCATATTAGTCTTACTTCATAATTGCTCCCACAATTATAACCGACTATGAACTTGTAGAATAATAACATTATTCATGGATTAAACATGTTAATATAGAACACAACAAGTATAAATGTGATGACTATATCCCAATATATCATAACATTATCTAATAGTTGTTGTTATAATGTTACAATATCCAAATACCAAATCCAAATCAAAACCCATTTCTAGAATAATAAAGTCTTATAGCTGAAGTATGACCATTCATACTTAGCTCAAAAGAATGACCTTATCAATGGATCTGACAAAATTTAATTTGTGTGAATTCTGTGAATACTATCATCTCTATACTTAACTTTACTCTAGGTATAGTTAAATATCTTGGAGAATATGATTGGTGTTCTTTCGTGACATAGAGTCTCTTAGCTTGATTAAGTATACTCTTGAAGTTACAAAGATTTCTGTGTGATCCTTGAATGGCAGAAATCAACATAGTTTTTCAATGATCCATTCATCCAATCATATTTGAATTCAACTTCTAAAGTAGTGTATTCTTATTTTGTAGTAAATTATGTTTTGCTTGGACCTCATTCCAACAAGACTTACCCTTCATTCCATAATGAAGTCAAAATCCAATTATAACTCATAATTATTTATATCTGTTTAGAAATTAACATCTTGTGTAGCTCTTTCCATAAAGATTCTTTCTAAACTGATTGTCTCATATACATTCTCTTAGTTCTTCTAAAGTACTCTTAGAATGCTCTCTTAGTCATCCAGTGACTTAACCATGTATTCAATTAGTATCCTATGACATGCTTACAGCATGATCAAATACCATGTCCTATGCATAATATGGCGTAAATGATGAATTCATTTGCCAAGCAAATAGAATATAAATCATGTCATCTAGTTCAAACCTATGAGCTATGTACTTTTGAGGCTAGCTCAAAATGGTGCCATATGACAATGCCAAGAATTCTCCAAAAGAATCTTGTGTCTTGATCCCTTTCAAGATATTGCCAATATATGTATAAGGATATGAAACTTTTAACATTCATTTTATCTATCTCTTATAGATTTTACATTCCAAGAATGTCTCTTC